CAGACAGACAGACAGACAGACAGACACATAGACACATAGACAAACAGACAGACAGACAGACTCACAGAAAAACAGACAGTCAGACAGACAGACTCACAAATCAAAATCCTGCTCCGAGGTCTCTGTAAAGGGCACAACTTTGGACACCCCGGCGTTGTTGACAAGCAGGTCAAAGTGGCCCAGGGACTCGATGGTTTGCCGGGCCGATGTCCAGTCGCTCAGGTCCACGACACATGTCTCGATAGTTGGAACCTTAAGGGAGAAATGTGCACAGGAATAACGTAAACTACTGTAAGCAAAGAGGAGGGTAGGAACGGTAAAAGTGAAGTATACATTCTACCATAACTGCCAACCTAGACTGAGAGGGATACAACGTCACAGTAGACAAATCGAGATAGTCTGCAAACGGAAGTCGAACACAGGTCTTCCGTGTCGACGATGAAACACGTGTCTGCTACACCATGGACGCCGGTCCCTGTTCCTGTAAGACACATCACCAAACCCACTGTGACCCCTGTGGAGACTCTGGATTCTTGTTTTGTTTTAGTAAGGTTTTACGGCGCTCGCAACTGCATAAGGTCATAAGAGCGCCAAGGGATCGATGTCAACAGAGAAGTCCAAAAAGGGAACCAGGCTTACTCTGCTCACCTCTCAAGCCTCAACAGCACAAAGTCTGCTTCGACTATAAAGGCACCCCGGAAAAAGCAGTTCACAAGAGAAGGACAAACATACCAAAGAAGTAGAGGGAAAATGACGATAGTAGGTCTAAGGATAATTTTTTTAATAATCAGCAGTTCCTCCTATGTTATTCCGGCACAGTATGAGCATGACATTGAAAAATCAGCCCATTTACAATTCTACTGCGCATACGAACATGTTAATGTCCTCACTTTGGGAAAACCTAAAGACAATTTCAGTCAGTAGAACTGCCTGGTGTATGGGGGGGGGGGGCTCTGGATTCTGGATCTACATAGGCTTAGAAGATCAAAGTAGCTCCGAATGTTGGGATCTATCTCACTTTTACCGTGGAGAAGACTAACAATGATAGTTCGTCTGTCGGTGTCTGACGATAACCGATGTATCTGCAGAGGAGAATATTGTTCAAGCGAAACAGCAGAAGAATTTGAAAATTTACGGTTAAGATTACTTGTGGCTTCTGATAGGGTCGTTGAGATCAATTGTAGCAGAGAAAAGTTTGCTACATTTTAAGCTTTAAAAAGCTCCACTTCCACATGTGGATATGAGCAGCTTGCGGCCTTCTCTTTTAGTTTCATCATTTCTTCTTCGTGAAGCCTCATATGACATGCTGCCCACTGTAACTGCTGCTTTCCAACTGGATTTGCCGGGAGTCAGGCTCTTAAGTGAAAATGGCTAGATAATCCCTGACTGTGCTTTCTGTTATATTTGAGCTAGGCTTATACTACAAAATCGTCCCACTATACTAAACAACTACTCTCGTAGGCCTATCTCAAGGCAAATCCGTAAATCGAAAGAGGAGTTTTGGTTTTGCTCTATTCATAAATCGAGTTACAGTTACAATTGAAAAAAAAAGAAAGATAGAAAGATAGAAAAAAGAAAGATAGAAAGATAGAAAAAAGAAAGAAAGAAAGAACGAAAGAAAGAACGAAAGAAAGAAAGAAGGGATCGCAGACGATAAGTTATGGAGCATATTATGCAAACGTTCCTCAGATGTTCGTCTTCTGGAAAAGTGAAGAATCTGTGCGATTAGTCGACGTTCTGGTTTTAACTGAATCATTCTGAAGGTACAAGAAAGTATTCTGTCCATCCAGCAGCGTCCCGCTGTCTTACCTCTGATTTCAAGGAGTCCAAATCCGCCTGGGACCGACTGAGCGCCACAGTGTTTGCCCCACATGCTGTTAGCTTTTTGGCAATGTCTCGACCGATGCCTGGGGTATGGAAAGAGACTCGTATAAATAAATACAATAAATGTACATCCCTCAATAAGACAGTTCGTCATCTGTCTGAGATACTGGCGAAACGTCCGGAGAAATGATATCGGCGGAATCTGCTATTTCAATGCACTTTTGATACTGTGTTGTTGTTGTTGTTGTTGTTGTTGTTGTTGTTGTTGTTGTTGCTGTTGCTGTTGTTGGGGTGTTGTTGTTTTTTTGTTGGTTTTTTTGTTGTTGTT